AAAAGTCATGGCATGATAGTTGCATTAGATTGTAGCTTCAATTTTCCAAAAAAAGGAAAAAAAAATGTTCGAGATTCAGTAATTCCAATGAGCCAGCTAGAAGGAAATTCCAGATGCAGTGTGGATTATGAAACAGATATTCTATATGCAATTTTAAAAGGAAGTTGTGATTGCTGAAACCAACATTTAATCAAACACAAATCATGCTGAAAGCAACAAGTTTTCCTCTTTTGTTTTTCTTTTGAGGGGGCTGCAAGATTAATCAGAGAAATGCCATTCCCGTGATATATTTGCATCTGAAAGGATATATGACAAAGGTTATATGAATTTTTGTTGTTGTTGTTTTTGTTTTGAAACAGAGTCTCACTCTGTCACCAGGCTGCAGTGCAGTGGTGAAATCTCAGCTTACCATGACCCCCGCCTCCTGGGTTGAAGAGATTCTCCTGCCTGAGCCTCCCAAGTAGTGGGATTACAGGCACGTGCCACCACGCCCTGCTAATTTTTGTATTTTTAGTAGAGACAGGGTTTCACCATGTTGGTCAGGCTGGTCTCGAACTCCTGACTTGAGGTCTTCCATTCCCCTCGGCCTCCCCGAATTCTAGGATTACAGACAAGAGCCACCATGTCCAGCTGGTTTTATGAATCTTTAATACACTAATATGCATTATGAATATCCAGAGGAAACTACATCAGCAGTTTTTAAATTATTTGACCATGGAACTCATTTTTTGCAGTGTAAAATCTGAAAGAAGTTGGGTTGGGCAGAATATTGGGAAACACTAGTGTAAGTCTGGAAAATAAATCTACACTTTTTAGGTAGCATTGAGGTTATTGCATTTATTTTCAAACATTATCTTTTAAAGGAACCCAGAAAACTAGAATCTTTCCAATGGAGGGGATCAGAGTAATGAATTATATAATACTATATTGTAGAATACATAATTAGGAATTATGGAAAAGGCACCTTGGGGAGTAAGGTTGTCCTAACAGTTGATTTCAAGTTTGATTTAATAGTTGTTATATGGAGAAAGAACTGGATTATTTCTTTTTAGTTTAAGCCACCAGAAATAGGAGTACTATCTAAGAATTACAGGTTTTGGCTGACTATAAAGATTTTTGTGAGAGCCCTAGTCCTGGGGTTTGACAGGCACTATTCCTGCAATTTTTTGGCTAGGTTGTTTAAACTCTCAGACACTAGGTTTTCTCATCTGTAATAGGGGAAAGCTGATGGAGGTACCACAAAAAGTAAATCCTACATTACATTTGAAAAGATCCACACAATTCTTGGCACACGAGAACATCTCAATAGTGGAAATGTTCAAGCATATTCTTAATTATTTAAAAAAGAACTGAAAGCCTAGTTTGGGCGACACATCAGGGAAAGTAGCTGTGACTCAGTTCCTGTCGTTATGAGCTAAGTCACATGGGGATAAGCAGGGGAGTTAAGGCAAATATATTAAACAACAATAACACAAGGATGAATGCTTGCAAGAATCTCAGAAATTATGAGCATGAGTGCTGATTATTTTGAGGGAAATATGGAAGGCTATATGAAAGTGGTAGCATATGAAGAATGAAAACAATTTCAATGGGTGGGGTAAGGAAGGAAGCAGTGTGTTACAGAAGGGACGATTGTGAGGAGAGGCTGTAGGCAAAAAAGCATAGGAACATATCCAGAGAAGCAGCACAATTTGAAGGGACTATAAAGGCAAAACTAGAGATAAATGAGACACAATTCTAATTATTCGGGGGCTGCAGAATGGACCTTTTACTTAACTTGGGGTCAGTCTAAACATTATGAGGGAAAGAAAAGAGTGTCTTTATCTAAATTTACTTTTAAAAAAATCATGAAGTTTCAAGAGTTAGAGACCAGCCTGACCAACATGGTGAAACCCTGTCTCTACCAAAAAAAAAAAAACAAAAAAACATTAGCTGGGAGTGGTGGTGGGCACCTGCAATCCCAGCTACTTGGGAAACTGAGGCAAGAGAATTGCTTGAACCCAGGAGGCAGAAGTTGCAGTGAGCCGAGATTGTGTCATTGTACTCTAGCCTGGTCAATGAGTAAAACTTCATTTCATAACAAAACAAAACAAAAAACATGAAGTTGAAGTTGACAGTGGCAACAAAATCGGTTAGGATCTGTATGATTCCTAAAGCAGGAAAGCCAAAAAAAAAAAAAAAAANAATGCAGAAGATTGAAACTGGACTTCTTCCTTGTACCATATACAAAAACTAACTCAAGATGGACTAAAGACTTAAATAAAAAGCCCAAAGCTATAAAAACCCTGGAAGACAACCTAGGCAGTACCATGGTACCATATAGGATATACACAAGGGCAAATACTTTATGATGAAGACACTAAAAGCAATTGCAACAAAGCAAAAATTGACTAATGAGATCTGATTATACTAAAGAGCCGCTGCACAGCAAAATAAACTATGAACAGAATAAACAGACAACCCATAGAATGGAAGAAAACTTTTGCAAACTATCCACATGACAAAGGTTTAGTATCCATCATCTATAAGGAACTTAAATTTATAAGAAAAAAAAATTAAAAAGTAGGCAAAGGACATCAATAGATACTTATCAAAAGAACACATACATGCAGCCAACAATCACATGAAAAAAAAAAAAACCCTCAACATCACTGATTATTAGAGAAATGCAAATCAAAACCACAATGAGGTGTTATCTCACACCTCAGTCACAGTGGCTATTACAAAAAAGTAAAAAAACAATGGTGCTGGCAATGTTGTGGAGAAAAGGAAACACTTACACCCTGTTGGTGGGAGTGGAAATTAGTTCAACCATTATAGAAGACAGTGTGGCAATTCCTCAAAGACCTAAAGACAGAAATACCATTCAACCCACCAATCCCATTACTGTGTATACACCCGAAGGAATATAAATAGTTCTATTATAAAGACACATGCACATGAATGTTTATTGCAGCACTATTCACAACAGCAAAGACATGGAATCAACCTAAATGGTCATCAATAACAGACTAGACAAAGAATATGTTGTATGTATACCATGGACTACTCTGCAGCCATAAAAACGAATGAGATCATGCCGTTTGTGGGGACATGGATGGAACTGAAAGCCATTATCCTTAGCAAACTAATGCAGAAACAGAAAACCAAATACTGCATGTTCTCACTTATAAGTGAAAGCTAAATAATGAGAAAATTTGGAAACATAGATGGGAACAACACACACTCGGGCCTATTGGAGGTAGAGGGTGGGAAGAGGGAGAGAATCAGGAAAAATAATTGGTGCCAGGCTTAATATCTGGGTGGTGAAATAATCTGTGGGAACAAGCCTCCATCACCCATGTTTACCTGTGTAACAAATCTGCACATGTACCCTTGAACTTAAAAATCTTTTGTGTTTTTTAAATAGCACAATAAGTGAAAAGTAAAGAGAATCTCAAGAAGGATGGAAACAGTGGGAAGGGAAAGGAAGTCCTCAATGGGATCCACAATGAAGAATAGGCTCTGTTGGAGAAGATTTGACAGCAAACGAGGGAAGTGATGGTCTCAGAAGACCAAATTCCAGTTAAAGGGAGTCTTAGCAACAGCTTTCCAAAAGAAAGTCATGCCAGGAGTACTCCTCAGCAGAATAGCAAAGAGCAACTCTTACTAAACATTTATTCAAATGACGAATACATTATTGGCCATTTCTGGTTTGGGTTAAAATGAAACAAAAAAGATAGATGAACACATGAATGAATGAGTGATTTGGATTGAGCTCTAAAGAGAAATGGAAGATGTTAACAGAAGCATAAGTTTGTCAAAGCCAATTTGAGGAAAGGGAAGGCTGGATGGATAGAGATGGGAGTAGGGAACTAGCAAAGAAGACCTTACCCAAGGATGAGGGAAGGCCAGAGGAGCTAAATCAGGGCTTGGCCAAATAGGGCCTGTGGACAAACCCAGCTCTACCCACCTGTTTTTGTGCAGCCCATGAGTCAACAATAACTTTTACATTTTTAAATGGTTGAAGTGAATTCAAAGAAGGGTAATATTTCATGACATGTGAAAATGATATGAAACTCAAATTTCAATGTTCATAAATAAAGCAACAACTATTTTTGTCTTTTTTTTTTTTCCCTTTTTTATGGGGTGGGGAGAGAGGTCTGGGGGGAAGAGAAATTGTATGAAAAAAAAGAGAAACAAAAATGTAATCATGTTTAGCATTTTTTTTTTGCAGAAGGGACTGGCTTGTACTTTTTAAACATTAGCTGTATTATTCTCACTACAACCCAATGAGATAAAATTCATTGTTCCCATTTTACTGATGAGCAAACTGCAGCTTATGTTTCGGCTGGGGTCACACAGTTTGCTAAGGGCAGAGTCACCCATGGCAATCTGCCTGTCTAGATGATCCACTTTCCCCTAGGGTAAAAAGCACTGGCTCAAAGAATAGTGAAAACAAAGCATACTTAATAAAAGGGAGTTGGAGAGTGTTTTGAATGCTTTAGAGGGCAGTTTGGGAACTCAATGAGAAGAGGGGAATGGTTTAAGCAGATATATTTCTAAGAGACTTATATGAATTAATTCATTTGATCCTCACAACTCCTCCACGAGTTGGATGCTGTTATTAACAATCCAATATTGTATAAAGGATGGCCTTCTTAAAGATTACTTCCTAGGAAAAAGACTGTGTGGGTACTCTCAAACTTTGGGTCTTCTGGTGGGTGACACCACCGGGTTTCCAAAGGCTCATCCAGCCAAGTGAAGTATCTAGGACCTTGTGTTCAGAGCGTTAAGGGATGGATTCTATGGGCTGGGCTTTTACCCTGGTGTCCTGCATTCTTGCTCCAAGACTTTTCTCTCACCACTCTCATTTCCCCAAATGTGGCTTTCTGACACCTTCTAGCTATTAGTTCTTGGGCTCCTCCTTGGTGACTTCCTCTTAAGATACTTTCTGAGTTACAGCAAATCAGCATTTGAAGAAACACAGCAGATAAGTTTAAAATCCAAGTGCGAAGGGAGGTAGAGGCTCCAAACAATCCTGTAGAAGCACAGAGGCAGATGACAGCCTTTCGTCACCGCTGTAGATTTCGGAGAGTGCTGTATAGCTCTCCTCTTATCCTGGTGTTTGCCACTTTAAACAGTCACTTTCCCACTTGGAGCTTACTTGTGCCTTTGCTGACAAAACAGGAAGTGATTTGAATACAGTCTGTTTTTATGACTTTTGAACATCAGGAGTTTGGAAACAAGTTTTAACAGTGTATTTACTGCCTTGCTTTAGTACTTCTATTTCTTAGAAAACAATCGTGTAGGGGTTAAAATATCAGTGCAAAGTCCTGTACAAATACTGACTCAGTAATGAGCTCTGCAAGACAGCCTTTGTTGCATGTTAAATTCAAAACAAGCTTAGCATTTTTTTTTTTTTTTGTGGATAGAAACTGGTGGGGGTGGGGAAAGAAAGAGGGAACCAGGAAGAGAAGGAGGGGAAGTTAAACCTTGCTTCCCACTCTGTCTTTTTCAGAAAACCAAATATGGCATCTTCCATGAGGAGCTTGTTTTCTGACCACGGGAGATATGTTGAATCTTTTCGGAGGTTTCTCAACCATTCCACGGAACACCAGTGCATGCTGGAATTCATGGACAAGACGCTGCCAGGCATAATAGCAAGGTAACAAAAGGGACATTGTTGTCAAAGGGACAAGCCTCAGACTCGCTGTGCGTCAGTGATAGATGGGTCTTGCTCAGCCTCACAGGCTGGGCACGGGGATAAGGGAGAGTTACTGATAGCAGCTCCTCCTCGTCCCCTCCAGGCTGCCCTGCCCTCCCTTTCTCCTGCAGTGCTTTGGTTCCACGTTTGCTTTAAATACTCAAAGGCTCGGATTTGTGCTGTATTTCCAGCTGCAGAGATAAGCGTTAACCATTTGAAGGCACAAATCCATGTTCATTTGGGAAAAGATAAGATGCCAATCTTTGAACTCAGATTTTTCATCCCTCCTCCAAATTTTACGTCCCAAAAAAGTCCCAGAGGGAGTCTGGTTTTCATTAGAATCAAATATAAATAATTGCCAAATACGATTTGCCCCTTTCGATTGAACGCCTCAGTTCTCATAATATCCATTTAAATTCATTTTCCTTACCCATTGTTATAATTCTCTCTTCCCCAAAATTGTCTTTTTCTTTAACTTAATATTAGCAACGTGTTCCTTAAAAAAAGAACATTTTTCCATTATCAGTGAAACTCACTGGTTCCTATCCTTCTTACAGACTTCTTTTTTTTGAATGATTAATGTGTTCAATTTGTGCCAGAGCTGATAAGCATTATGTGAGTAACAGATTCCACATGCTAAAGATAATCAAATCACCTATCTGGGGGTGATTTGCTGTAACTCACTCTGCTTCAGGAAATAACAATGGGAAACTGGGAAGAAATGACTATGGATCCAATTTGCAAACAGCAAAAGAAACTGGTATTTTATCTTTTGCTGAATTTCTCTATTGTAGGCCTGAAATTCTTTCACCAGGGCAGTACCTCTGTCTGACCAGAGAAGGCATTTGTTAGATGTATATAAAATTTTATTTCTCTTTCTATTTAATATGATTCAGATTTTAAATGTTAGCTTCCAAAAAATAGAATATTATATATTAAAAATGAATATGTAATAGGATAAGGATACAAACATCAAAGCAAATAGCAAATACAGATAACTTCTTATCTAGGAACTAATTATAGTTAACCTCTTTGGGTTTCTTGATTCATATCTGAAGTTAGAGGTAATGAGTTAATTTCTCAATTCTTTTCCATTACTAAAAGTATTTGCTTAAGTCTGTAGCTTACCAGATCCTTGGTTTTCTTCAGCCATACACAATTTGATTTGAAGAGGTACCGCAGATGGATATAATATAATAAATGATGAATGACCCCTTCCTTATCTTCAAAGTTTAAATGTAACTGGAAATATTATAAAATCTGTGAAAGACTGAAAAATTCTTAAGGGCATGCTGTTTGTCTTATAACAGTAGTATATAGTTAGGAATGATCTGACTCAGTGTCATTTATTTACTAAGTAATTTTTTCCTGAAGATAGTGTTTGAAATAGACATAGCTGAAGGAGCTTTAAAATTGTTGCTTACAGTTGTCTATAAGTTACGAAATACCAAGAAGTGATTAAGATCTGCTTTGTGTATGTAAGGGCAAGGTTTGTTGAGTTGGTGGGTCACTGTGCTAATTGAGTGTGGACTGAGCCTATTTAATTTTTATTAAAACAAGACATGCTCATATTTGAAATATCAAATGGTTCTAAATACCAACAAATGGTTCTAAAGTGGGTGGGGCCTATAACAAACCCCACCCACTCCATTCTTGATTCCCACTCTCCAGAAACAACCATTTTCAGGACTTTGAAATCTTTTTATTATTTATGGAATTTTCTTTTATAATTTAAAATAGCATGCTATTGTTCTATTTCTTCATTTTGCTGTATTAAAATAACTAAGTAAACATGCACATTTCCCACCCTATCATGTCACTATACTTTGTCAAAATTTTGGTTACATAATTTGAGTGTTTCATGTCATTTTGCCTATGTACACATATTATTAATAATTCAGCAATATATTAGACTATGATTACATTTCCTTTTATGTACAACTTTTTGTTTTCCCTAGAGTTTACCATTGCCTTGATTTTAGTTTATTTTCTTAGTTCTCTATGTGCCTAATACTATTTTGATCCCCAGGCAGATATATTAATCTCCTCTCAATATATGCAAGGAATCTGTTTGTTTTACCCCAAGGGAACAACTTTTCTGGAGCCGAGCCCTCTGTTCCTTTTCTCAGTTTAGGAAGATCTGCTTTGGTCTGTTATACAACTATTGAGGAAGGAGTTTATTTCACTTTCTTTCTTTCTCCAATATTTGATTTCCTGATTCTGTATCTCATATCTTTCTTTTCTGTTTCTTCAGTCCTTTGTTTCCTGAACTAATTTTTAAGAGCTTTAATACTGAATGAGAGGTAAACTTTTTGAGACTTTGTATATTTAAAAATCCCTTTGTTCTACGCTCATTGTTAGACAACTTGATGGTTATAGAACTCTATACTGAAAGTGATTTTGTATCATAGATCTAAAGGTACTTTTCCATTGTCTTTTAAATACCAGAACTGCTCTTAACCAGTCAAATACTGACCAGGTATGTTGGCTCACACCTGTAATCCCAGAACTTTGGGAAGCTCAGGCTGGAGCATTACTTGAGCCTAGGGGTTTGAGACAAGCCTGGGCAACATAGCAGGATTCCATCTCTACAAAATATAAAACAATTAGCTTAGCAAGGTGGCATGCACCTATAGTACCAGCTACACCAGAGGCTGAAGAAGGAAGATCATTTAAGTCCCGGAGATCAAGGCTTCAGTGAGCCATGACTGGGACACTGTACTCAGCCCGGATGACAGAGTGAGACAGGGTCTTTTTTCTCAAAAAAGAGAAAAAAGGAAATCACATGCTACTCAAAATTCTCATCTTTGACATGTGGAATAACCTTTACATTGCTATATGTTGTTGTTTTGTTTTCTCTACTTTGAAGTTTTTAGACTCTTCTTATCTCTACTATTCTGATATTTTAAAATAGTGAGTTGTGAAATGATTTCTTTTCACCCATTTTGTCGGTACTCTCCTCGGCTATTTCAATTGATATTCAGATCCTTCAGTTACAAGGAACCATGGTAATCATTCCTCTCCTCTGTTTTATTTTTCTGGAACTTCTATTCATCAGATACCTCCTGGATTGATTACCTAATTTTCTTGCATTTCCAGTTTTCTATAACTTTCTCTTTCAACCCATCTATTAATTTTTTACTATTATATTTTTAATTTCCAATAATGTTTTTATAGCATTCTTTTCATCATTCCCAGATGTAATACCTTCTTCTATTTATTACAAAATGTACTTCTGCTCTCTCTGCCTCTTTCAGTCTCCGTTTCCTTATGTTAGGCAGCTCCCCAGCCACCTGATGAGCCTTGGATTTCTATTCAATCAAATAATGAGGCACTAAAAAGTAGTCAGATTCTTTCTGTATAAGTCAGGGCAGGGTCTGTTGAGTGAATAGCTCACTGAATAATTGAGTGTGGACTCAGCTCTTTCCTGGGAAATCCTCAGATGTAAAATCATGTTAACTTTATCACTGAGATGATTTGTTTCCCTATAGAGGAATTCTTCAATCCCCTATTTGGGGATAGATGGTGGCGCAGAGGCTGGGGGCAGGAAAAGTTATAGCATATAGCTATAAATTGTAAAGTTGGTTATTGTTGTTACACATGAAACATTTAAGTCCTTGACTTGAAAGTAGTAAGTTTTCAGTAATTATTTGATGTCATTATAGTATGTGAAATGGGATGAATAATAGTATCTAACTCAGAGGAGTTTTGATTCAAAGAGTTAATTCACAGAAATCACTTACTTATGTGTGCCTAGAATTATAATAATTGCTAATACATGTGGAGTGCTTGTCATGTGCAAATACATTTGTAAGAGACTTACATGAATTAAATCATTGAATTCTCACAGCTTCTCCATGAGTTAGAAACAGTTATTAATAATCCTACAAGAGGCCAGGGTCAGTGGCTCACACCTGTGATCCCAGCACTTTGGGGGGCCAAGGTGGGCGGATCACGAGGTCAGGAGACAGATACCATGCTGGCCAACATGGTGAAACCCCTCCTCTACTAAAAATACAAAAAATTACCTGGACCCAATGGCGCCTGCCTGTAATTCCAGCTACTCAGGAGGCTGAGGCCGGAGAATCACTTGTACCCAGGAGGCAGAGGGTGCAGTGAGCTGAGATTGCACCACTGCACTTCAGCCTTGTGACAGAGCAAGATTCCATCTCAAATAATAATAATAATCATCATCGTCATCCTACAAGATTGGTGGTATTATTAACTTATTTCACAGAGATGTAAAATAACTTGCTCAAGGTAACGTATCAGTAACCGGGGATTTCAACTTGGGTGCTCTGCTTCATAGCTTCCCTGTGGTGTCATAGATGCAAACATTTTAAAGAATGAACAAAAGGTTTAGATAGAAATTGGTGTGTTAGGACTCAGGATTATGAGTTGGAAGATAACTAGAACTGAAGAAGGCAACTAATTTATAGGTGTTCTTGACCACAGACTTTGCAAAATTCCTTCAGAACCTTATTCCAACCTTTATCCCTATTCTGTGACTGTGCAGCCTCTTGCACTGTAGACAAAACGTAGATTTCTTTACCATCCCACAGTCCAAAGAAACAAACAGCATCCTTTCCCCTTCATGGTTCCCCTATAGCTGTCATCTCTTTTTCTTCTCTTTTTCATCCGTTTCAACAGACTCTAAATCTGCCTCCTCATTTTCAAGCTCACTTTTAATCCCATTGCCATCTGACTTCAGTCCTCATGCTTTTTTCAAAACTGCTATTTTTAAAGACACTCATACTACCAAATTCGATGGAGATTTTTCCTTTTCTAAGCAGTATACTCTGCTGCTTTTGCCATGACAAAGGGCTTCCTCTGCCTCCAATTATCCCAGTACCTCTCTGTTCTTTATTTCTTTTCTTCTCTGGCTTTTTGTATTCTTCACAATCCAGTGGTCTTTAGAAGTTGGTATTGCATCACCATCCACAACTACTTTAACTTTGCAGTATCTTTGGATGACGGAATCTGCTCTTCTAGCATTGACCATTATTTTATGATGATAATTCTCCAGAATACATCGTTGACCCTGATTTCTCTCCTCCCAGCTTAAATCTTGCAAATCCAAACATCTGCATAATTCATATTTATTTTTTTTAAAGCCCTGAGACAACATAAACTTACTGCCAAACTACATTCTTCAGCTTCCTTTTTGGCATCGCCCTTTGCCCAGTCATCCAAGCCTGAAACAGGGAAGTCACTGCACACTAGTATTTTTTTCTGACCTCTTCACATCAATCTAACAGCAAGTCCTGCTGGCTTATTTCCCAATATGTCTACTCCACTCTGTTTCTAGTACCTGAGCCACAATTCAGGGCTTTATTATCACACATTTCATTTTGAGAGCAAAATGATAACACTTTTTAAATTCCTAAGACAGAATACACATAATACATGTTTAATAAACATTTGTTCATTAAAAGGAAGGTTAAAAAATAAAAGGACAAAAGAAGGTAGACATCATAGAGACAGTGGGAACCACCCGAGCCTTTCCTTTATCTACGATGAGTGGCTTATTATATGACCAGACTCAAAACTCCACATTTTCTATCCTTGTTCTCCAAACAAATGGCATTTTCCACCCTGAGATATTCATACTGCCATTTCCAAGTCTCCTAGTTCAAGATTGTTGATGAATAAAATCTATATTTTGAAATATACTCTAAAGATTGCAATATAATTGCTGATATGATTGGGACCTTTCACGTTGGCCTAGTTTTCATTCATTGTATTTTTAGTCTGTCTGTTCTCTGCAACTAGACTAGATAATCAGATTTCACAAAGCACCTAACACATTTTTCTAAAACTACATAATTTTTTTCTTTCAGGATCGGAGACACAAAATCAGAAATTAAGGTTCTAAGCATAGGCGGAGGTGCAGGTATGAATAATATGTTTTTAAAGTTTGTATTTCACTTCAAACGTCATGCTGTGTGATGGCAATAGTGTTCATTTTTTTAGGAAAGCTTTTTTTTTTTTTTGCTTTTGGAAGAGATCAGCTTATTAAAACTAGAAATATTACTTCAGCTAAGATTAATGCCCTCATAGATTTAGAAGGTTTAGGACATTCACCTTCATTACTATCTCTATTGTGAATAAAGGATGTGACTTATTCTTTTGATAAATGAAAAATCAAATAGGATAACTTTAAGGATAACTCTTACTCAAAATGATTTAAATATTCACAGAAAAGGAAAATCCCATAAGAAGTTCCTTAAGCTTGTGTCACTTTAAAGCCTTGTTCATGGATTGATTACTGGTTTCAAATTGTTTTTGATCCATGTGAAATTAGAAATGTGCACTGGAATATAAACTGATGCCCAGCTTTTTTCATTGAGAAATTCTCACCATGGGGGAAAAATATGCTCAATGACATAGTTAATTTACATTCCTGTGTCCCCATTCTTTGAGTGGCACGGGCCTAAACTGTTCCCTTCATCTTACTCAGTTCCAAAACAGGCTGAGAATTACCTCTAGCATTCAGAACACTCCTAAGCACCCTTTTATAGGGTGCTTAGTTATCTTTGTCTTAATACGAATCACAATTGAACTCATTGATGGGGCACTAGAATACTTAAGAGATTCAAGGGATTACCACTTAGCATTAAGTTATAAGTGACAAAGTGTCCACTTGATACCAAGTTATAGCCATTACTGAACTATCACTCAGACAAAAGAAAAGAGACTAATAAAACACCCTTTTATGATCTCATTACTTTTAGGTCCAGCACTTTTATTCTAGGGGAAAATTAAAAGTCTGGAAAAGTAGATGGACACAGGTAACTCTGCCTCCAATGAACTGTATCATCTTGGCTGAAGCATCAGTAAAATGGAAACAATGAATTTTATCTCATAAGGTTGTAGTGAGAGTGATGTAGGTAACATTTACAAAGTGCCTAGGACATTCTTATTACTCCTGGAGGGTGAAGGCTATTCCCTTCTGCAAAAGTGAAATAGAAAGTTTCATATCAAGACTTTTCCTCATATCAACTCCTGAACAGTGTTTGCTTTAAGTTGCTAGTCATTTGGAAGTTTGGGTTAATGCATTAATATACAAAATATGTAGACATATTATTTATATATTTATCCTTAGTTATGTTTTTTTGTCTGAGTGATAATTCAGTAATGGATGCAACCTGGTATCAATTGGACACTACTGTCATATGTAATTACCACTTAATGCCAAGTGGTAATCCCTTGAATCTCTTAAGTGTTAAGTGTTCTAGTGCCCCATGAATGAGTTGAGTTGTGGCTCATATTAAGACAAAGTTAACTAAGAGCCCTTTAATGAAATGAGATCACTGAGTTTTGTTTTGCTTTGTTTTGTTTTGAGACAGAGTCTTGCTCTGTCACCCAGGCTAAAGTGCAGTGGAACAATCTTGGCTCACTGCAACCTCCGCCTGAGTTCAAGCAATTCTCCCTGTCTCAGCCTCCTGAGTAGCTGCAATTACAGGTGCCCGCCACTACACCTGGCTAATTTGAGTATTTTTTGGTAGAGATGAGGTTTCACCATGTTGGCCAGGCTGATCTCAAACTCCTGACCTCAGGTGATTAGGCCTCCCAAAGTGCTGGGATTACAGGCACAAACCACCATGTCCGGCCAAGATTAATGATTTTTAATGTCATTATTTGTTCATTTTTCAGTAGATACACCATCATATAGTGTAATAAGAACTAATCCTTAAAATTATTTTATTTTACTGTCATATTTCACCAAGAAAATAGAAATCAACAAATACAGATAATGAAGGGGATTGTCATGAACAATATCACAGAGAGTGTTTAAGCTAAAATACTTTATTATTGCTTATGGATACTTTAAGTCCCCCAAATTATAATAGTGATGAATTGCCCAAAGAACGCCTTATTAATTGACTTAACCAAGACAGTTGTTTCCTGTGTGTTTTGCATATGAGTTTCAGGCAACCAACGGGCAATAAGACTATCATTTGATAGTGTCACTTGTGCTTGGACAAGAAGAGAAGCCCTACAAGAAAACGTAATTAAAAACAATCTCTATCATGGCCAAGTTAATTGACCGTTTAATATAAAGTTAATTGAATTTCTAATGCAAATTTATCCAGATGCTTATAAGCTATCTAGAGAAAGGAACATTTGGCCTGCACAGTGATTCCTTACATAAAGGTGCACATAGAAGCTAATACAGAGAACTTAATAAAATAAAGGGAGCAACTCTTGGAGTTCTTCTGACAGAACCCTAACATTGTAGCAATAACAAGCTCTGCCTTGGGGAGAATGTGGGTGCCCTTTAAGGTCACTTTCCATAAGAAATCAATCAGAAATGTAAGGAAAAACTCCAAGAAAAATTCAAGCTATGTATACTCAGCTTTCACTACCCGAGTAAGTTATATGAAATCAAAAGCAATGCATTTAAAATCCCTAGATCTAGGTGTCCATTGCTTGAAAAAGCAGTGTTTTGAGGTGAGAAGACATGCTACTTCAGTTAGTTTGAGTGCTCATGTAGCAACTGGGAGATGGTTTTCTAATCACCTATTATGGCCTGACTGCAAGCATTATGCAGAACAATACATTACTCTACAGCAAGGAACTTTCTATTCTTGTTTTAGAGAAATGGTGTCCCCACATATTCTATAATCTACAGGGTGCCTGAGAGCTTTATATCATCCCATGGCTTGAGTATCCTTCCAAATCAGCTATTAACTCCAGTCCCTAGCAAATGAGGCCATTGATCTTGTTCAGTCCCTTGGTCTCATTTCCTGTAATGCATCTCATAGGGTCCCGTTTCTGTCTTAGTTTACAGGTTTTACTACCTCGACTTTCTTTTCTTGGTTGCACAGGTAGACACAAGCATGGCTTTGATGCGAATGTTCTCTCAGCCTTCATAATGGTGCTACTACTTCTCCCACCATGCTTCAAAAACATACAAAAGCAAACCAGCTAAAACCCTTCCTAGATGAAACTGCTACTTTTATATCACTTAATTCTCATGTTTTTTGGGGGGTGGGGGTTATATGATTTTTTTTTTTCCAGAAACATAAGCAGGGAGGAGGTGCACATTGGCCCTATCGATTAACCTCTCCTCTTGAGTCTGGTGTTTGTGCGTAAAGAGTTTTCATAGTTTAAGAAATAATGTAAGGTTTTTGCAGAAGGTGCTTGGCACTTCAGTTTGGAAGTCAAGCAATTATTAGGGGTCTGAGCAATTCAAAAGAAAGGAAACAAATGGCAAATTCTTTAAGTCATCTACCATATCAATAGAGTATAACTGGTAAATAACACTGTTATCCATAGATTATACATTCTAATATTAGGAAAATGAAATAAATATTATATGAATCCAATAGGAAGAAAGGAAAACAAGCCATGAACAGAAAAACAGACTACATAGCTTTTACAGAGACCAAACTGGGAAGTATAAAGTTATGCATGTATGTTCGTGTATATGAGTTTGTGTGCTTTAATGAGGCAAAATGAATGGCCAGAAATGCTTTATTCAGGGTCTTGAAGTATTCATGTTGTTAATTTCTGCAATTGTGTTTAGGTTTTGAGAGTAATGCATATATTCTGAATCTCATAGAATATGCTTTTGGGTCCATCAGCATTAATGAAATGAAACTTCCTTAAATGAAACCACTTGATGGGGCTTCATTATTATTCAACTTCTAATGAGTGTTGTCTTCATGCTAGATGGTACATGGGAAAAAAGAAACCCATATTCTTTTTGGTATTAATTTACAGTGCATATACTTATTACTGAAAAAAATGTTCCAGAAAGCAGTCATGGGCAATGTGTTCTCTTTGCTCCGGGCTCTGCTTACAGAATAATCATTTTATCTGTCCTGCTGTTTGGTTCTTATGTTCAAATGCCAGAAAGTTTTTTAAGAGTTAGACAGAACTATAACTCGAATAATCACATTTAATCCACTTCCTACTTCTATTTTCATTAACCTTTGTATACTAACTTAACCACTATACCATTGCTACAACAATAATTGTATATATGTTTATAGATAATTTTTTAATTCACTCAAGCAACTCACATATGAAATATGGGTGTTATCAACCCTCATAATATTTTTTTGTAATAGTTTTTCTGACATATGTTGAGAGCAGTTTGATGGTTCTTTTGTTCTGCAACATATAGATGCCAGCATTTCTAGAGAGGTTAAAAACTAGAAGAAAATTTAGAGACCATCAACACTCTCACTTCACAAACAGGAAACCTGGGGACCATCATGGCAGAACAAAACCTAAGTCTCTTGATTTTAGCAGTCCAACAAATTGTACTAAACAGATTTAATAGTTTATTCTTAACTTGGTAAAGGAAAAAGTGTCTGAGACAGCTCTCAATCAATTTAGAGGTTTATTTTGCCAAGGTTTAGGATGCAACTGAGAAGAAGAGACACAGGTTGCAGTAGCATCTGTGATCTGTGCTTTTTCCAAAGAGGTGTTTGAGGACTTCAATATTTTAAGAGGGAAGAGCAGCAGGAGGAGAAGGAGGAAAGAATAAAATAAGGAGGGCAGGTGGTGAGGTAAGTGGTCACTTTCTTATGAGGCTTTGATTAGCACTTACTGAATCCATATGTTATATGTAAAAGGCGGGGGGCCCCTTGGAGAACGACGTTCTATCATTGCACCTATCTGTTTAGGTACAAAAGGGAAGGCAGTTTTTGCATGACCCAGTTCTCAATTGTAACTTTTCCTTTTGACATAGTGAGATTGAGGTCAAGATTTTATTTTCCTTTCACAGGAGAGATTAGGTACTTAGCAATGACGAGCTATTTTAAAATCTAACCTCAACATATTGTTAATCTTGTCTCCTTTCATAAATGACATGTTAAGGTAACACAGAAGCTTAATACTTTAAGCTGATTGGACAGTAGTAGAATGAATATAATTCAAGTAGGAACCGGAAGATCCAGTGTGTCAGGTTTAGAAACTAGGAGGTGGCAGGAAGCAAGTGTTAACGTTTACAAATGATCCATAGTAAGCCAACAGTACAGATCAACAGATATAAAATGCTTGAAAAAATACAGAGAATTGAGATTTTGTTTTTGCCGGGAAAAAAGAATTTGGCTGTGCTTATTGCCATTTTCATATCTTTTCTGATGGGCAAACAAACAATAGAATATTTGCCTTCAAAGGCCAATGGTTGAAAGCTTCAGAAAGTGATTTCTTGGCTCAGTATAAAAGCATGTTAATGATCAAACCTGTCCATAAGTAGAAAGCAACTTTCATTCCGTGGCAGGTAAGGAGTTATCTGTTGTTCTAGTCGTGTCGGCATAGGTTGGAGACATACTTTACAGATAGGTTATGGAAGGGACTCAGGCACTGATTTCTTGTGTCTTTGAGCCATTAAACATGCATTTAGTCTTGAAATCTTGTTTTATAAATCACCTTCTAGAAAGGTGGTAGGAATTCTTTTCAGAGTGGTGTGGCTATTACCATGTTTGTTGTATTGAGAAAGTGAAATTCTAATGGGGTTTCTAGACCTGCAGGTAATTTTTGGAATGGGTTTTAATTGCTTATAACTAATGAGTAAAAACTAGTGTGCTTACATGCAGTATAATAGCAGTTACTCCTTTATCAGAAGGATATAGATTATACACTAATCTACAGGATTTAGAACTACTTTAGATAAACACAGTATTGTTTGGGGCATCATTTTATTAAAGGCATTTATAAATATATGATTAAAGCATAAACTATTCTTTGTACATAACTTTACCAAAATAATTTACCCCATTATATTGTGTTGTATTTAAATCTTTCAGTGAACATAGAGGTATCATTAAAGACAGATACATTACAGATTTGAGAGAATGGAACATAGTGTTAGAACACTGGAGTCATTGTCATTAAAAGCAGAGTAAACAAGGCTGTTTTGGCTAATTCAATAAGGTTTGAAACAGCAAAACAAGGAATAATAAACAGAGTGAAGACAAAGCTATCATTGCAAATTAAATGACTGTGTACTTAAAAAAGCAAATAAACTTAGTTGTAAAGACTTAGAATTAATAACAACGCAGCAATGGACTTGTACAGGTAAAATAGATAAAAAGCAATGTAGTAGGTC